ATGCTCGTTTGTTTTATGGTAAATAATATCGAATTGGAATGACTGTAAAGCCAAAGTGTAATGTAGGAGTCTTCTTGCTGCCAAAACTGGCATGTCTTTTTTTTTAGCCGAAAATTGCAATAACAGGTTTATGATCCGTAATTAATGTAAATTTCCTGCCTTTTAAGTAGAGAAAAAATTATTTAGCTTCTTTATCGGTTTGAGAATACTTTTTATCTGTTTCAGTCCATGTTCTAGAAGCATATGTAATTGGCCTTTCTGTTCCATCAGAAAGTTTGTGTGAAAGTACCGCACTTAACGCCCACTGGTGATGCATCAGGTGCTAATGGTAAGGGCAATTTTAGATCATAGTGCATCAAAACTTTTTGTGAACACAATTCTTTTTTAATGTTTAGAAAAGCCTGCTGACAATACTTCATCCAAACCCATTTTGAGTTTTTCTTAGTTAATTGATATAAGGGATTGGCAATTGTCGCTAATTTAGGGCAAAATTTTCCATAACAATTAACCAATCCCAAAAAACATTGAATTTCCTGGACATTTCTGGGCCTTGGGGCTTTCGCAATCACCGATATTTTTTCATCAGTTTTATGTAAACCATTAGCATCAATTTTATGACCTAAAAATTGTATCTCATCCTGAAAACATTTACTTTTCTCTAAATTTAATTTCAGCCCGCGAGTTTTACATTTCTCGAAGAAATTTTTTTAAGTATTTAAAGGTGCCTCATCATCCGCCCTTGTTATCCACGCATCATCCATGAAGACCTTACACCCTTCCATTCCGTGGAATAGTCTGTCTATGTAACGTTGCCAGATTGCCGGTGCTGCATTTAGCCCAAACATTAATCTCTTACACTTATATAATCTCTTCTGTGTGTTTATTGTTAGCAATTTTTGAGTTTCAGGGTGTACTTTCGTTTGTAAATAAGCATGTTTAAAATCAATTTTTGAAAAATGCTTTCCCCACTCAAACATGAAAATATTTCCTCAATGGTTGGCAAAGGGTGTTTATGCATAACAATATTTGGGTTTATTGTCACCGAGTAGTCGGCACTCAGAGCCGTCCGGCTTAACTACTGGTACTACCGGAGTTGCCCATTTTGAAGTTTCAACCTTTTCGATTATACCCTCTTTTTCTAACAATTTCTTTATCTATACACGTCTTTAACGCAAATGGTACTTGCCTAGCTCTACAAAATTTTGGTGAAACATTTGGCTTCAATTCAAGTTGAACCTCATAATTTTTTATCTCTCCTAATTTTATGTCAAAAATCTCTTTATATTGTTTCCAATAATTTATTTAAATTACTCTTTTGAGAGACAGAAATTGACTTTATTGAGGACCAATCTAAATTTATCTCTGAAAGCCATTCTCTACCAAATATTGTATCAAGGTTTTCTTTAACAACGTAAAGATTTAAATTTTTATTTTAACCTTTATATTCTATCTTAACTGTAATAAATCCTAAAAGGATCAGTTTTTCTCTGTTATATGTTTTAAATACCAGACTTGTATTTTTAATTTTCTTTTTCGAAATTTGCCAGAAATTTCTTAAACTCATTACCGATAATGCACCCCCTGTATCCAGTTCCATAGCCACCGGTTTTCCTTCTTTGTTCACTTAGACCATTATGGGCAGTTTCTTAAATCTGTAATCATCGCTAAGCGATAAAAAACTCATCATCAATGTAAAAGTTTACCATACTCCTTTATTATTGAATTACTCACATAAAAAAATTGTTTAGGCATCGCTACATGAGTCATTACTCAAGTTGTCATGTTTTGATAAACATGTGGTGGTGAAAAGAAAGTATAATAAATAATGATTCTCCAGGTTGGCGTCAGATCAATGATGCATCTGTGTGGAATGTTTCAGTTTGATATGTGTGCCAAGCACATACGCAGCAACGGAGCCAAATTACTGATGGTACAAATTTATACTAAAATGATTGTTTCTTCAATAACAAGGTATTTTTAGTGTCGAAATGAAATTAAGAATTGGGACTCTCCAGATGTTTTATTATGCACGGAGGGAGGAATCAAATGCACATGCGTAAAGCCTGTGAGAAAAACTTTGTTGGTGGTTTTGATGTCCGAATTTTAGATCATTCCGGATAATGGACGTCTGGATTTCGGACTTTGTACTGTACTATAATTATCAATATTATTATTTGAGTGTCATCTCAAAAATTTTGATCACATTCAGAGATGGTCATCGTAGGGGTCACTGCTATATGAAATTCTGCTGTACCAGATAAGTCTGAAAGGGGGAGAAGAGCACTTTTTTAAATAGCTCAGAGTAAAGCTTTCATATCAACTAAATAATGTACACTGTGCAAAAAAAAGGGGGGATAGTTCTATATCTCCCGTTCTACTGGGCCGAATGACGAAATTCAAATTACGTTTTTCATGTCTCAAAAGCGCAACTTAGTATATATATTAGATTGATAAATAGCATTGTTCTAACATAGGTATTTCAAATTGTGTTTTTCATGTCTTAAAAGCATGGCTTGGGATATGTATTAGATTTATATACAGCATCATTCTAACCAGGGCTGTGGAGTCGGTAGGAAAAATGACCGACTCCTGGAATTTTAATGACTCCGACATATAGACATGAGTTACAGCTTATGTTTTTAATATAAAAGAAGTAATAGATGTTACAGGGAAAAAATTTGATAGCATATCAAATGATTTATATTAATTAGCATTTATTATGAAATGGGAAAACTGGCATTAGTTATTTCTAAGAAACAGTATAGCTTCGGTAAGATCGTTGTTACAGGGCCATAGATCTGATTTGATAAACTTCAGAGCTGAGAAGAGTCTTGCCATATTAACTTGAGTAGGAGGAAGAGCTGTTAAGGCTACTTCTTTTAACTTTTCAGGATAGATTTTTGTAAGTTCTAAAAGAGGTGTCTTGCAAGCACAATCATATTTCTCTATTTCTTTAAATGCTGTGTAGAAATCCTTTCTGTATTTTATCATTTTTTATATCTAAAGGCTCTTGGTTCTTTATTTTCATTCGCTTTCCCTTAGCCTTTTCAATATTATCCAAAAATATTTCTCAAAATCTAATTCATCAGTGGAAGAGGATGATAGAGACTCAATTGCAGTGTCTGCAGTTTGACTGTTTTGATTCGAATTCTGCAATTGTTCTGAGAATAATTTCATTCTTAATGAAAGTTCATAGATTGCTTTTTTAATTTGCCTTTTTAATTTGTTCGTCATCCAAGAAAATTCGGTGTTTCGGAACTACATATATTGACCCCAGCAAGATCTCATTGTCTAGCAAACTCTCTTTTCGTCACTGAAGAAATGATTCCTTCTGCAATAAATCCTCCATTGCAGAAAGAACAAACACCCCATTCTTCCATTATCGCCTCCTTTCAATTCTTCAGATTGCAGCTTTTTTGTGACTGTATATAGTATAGAAAGAAGAGTTTCCAATTCTGCAAAATCATTCCACAGTCTTTCTGTTAGTAAAACATTAGGGTTATCTACATCTTGTAAAAAAATTCTTAATTCTAAAAACCTCTTTATCGTCAAATATATACTTCCATATCGCGTTGCATGATCAATAATTGTTCCTTTTCCTGCTCGTTTCCTAAGAATGGCATCAATTTTGGGAGTTCTTGCTGCTGTTGCTGCTTATCTAAATTTACCAGTGAGATTTGTAACTAAATAAATCAGTTTAATCACTAATGGCACATATCACATCCATCCTCTTCCCTTATATTTATTTATTAATATGTCAATAAAATAGAAAATAACTATTTATTAATGTATTATATAGTCCATAAATAAAAATAATAACTCAGCTTTGTCATTAATTTTTTTCAATTCATTTTAATTTAATTTCAAATTCAAACTGTCCAACAAAAACTGGAGTCGGAGTCTTTGTTTTTTAGCGATTCCAGCTCTGGGTCCTTTTACCCCAAAATCTGCCCGATTCTGACTCCGACTCCACAGCCCTGATTCTAACATAGTCTGTTGTGACACAAAATTGGACTTTTTCTGGAATAACATACCAATTTTTTTCCATATTTTAATTCTACAACTCAAATTATGCCTAAATATTAATTTTTTTTAATTTTTCAAAAAATTAAAAAATTTAATGCTTTCCCCCCCCCAGTTTGTGCCAAGAATAATTCATTTAACAATCTTCTTAATATATTGCAACCTATTTTCCTTTGCCTTCTATTGTGCAGGAGCAGAAAAAAATTCACAGCGTTCCTAGCTTTTTACATTGTGCACGAGTGGGAAAAAGTCACATCATTTCTACTTTCAAATAATTTTAACAAAGTGCCTAAAACACATCTGATTTTATTATTATCGTTTTCAACAAATATGCCAAATTTCAAAACGCACCAATATATAAATTTATGTATATCTCTGGAAGTTTTGAATAAAAAAACTAATTTTTTGCAGGTATGCTTAGAAATACATCTACTTTAAGATGATGGTAAAATTTTTATAGATTATAATACAAAATTTTTTTTGAAAAATTTATAAAAATTATTTAAAGATGCGAATTTTAAAAATAAATCATAAAAAAATGGGCAAATTTTCTTTGGAATGAACCTAAATTTTGAAATGTTAAAGGAAGCATCAAATAAGTTTAATAAAAAAAAAATATATTAATAAATATATATCCAATTCAATTAACATTGAAGAGCTATATTTTTTAAAAATTCCTCGTGCTATTTTTACAAAACTTGGCAATTTGGCACAATTTGAGTTTTAGAATTGAAATCAGAAAAAGTCCGATTTTGTATTGAAATACTTATATTAGGATAATGCTATATATAAATCTAATACATATCCTAAGTCGCACTTTCGAAACATGGAAAACACAAGATGAATTTCATCAATCGGCCCAGTAGAACGAGAAATATGCAAGAGTCCTCTTTTTTTTTTTTTTTTTTTTTTTTTTTGAGCACTGTACCTATAAGTATCAATTCATGTTTGAAATTTTAATCATATATCTATTTTAGGTCTTTGGTGTCTTCTTGATGTGTCCAGTGAGTTACAAGAAATTCATTATGAAAGTAGTATGCGCATAACAGAACGCACTCTTTCACATGTTGCAGTTGCTTTGGATAGGATTTATATCTGTATGGATTGTGATGCATACAGAGATGAATATAGAAACAAAGTGATGGAGTTCATAAAGTAATGATTTCTGTTTCCTTGAATTTCTGTGTATGATACCTTTCCCAAATTTCTGTTGCACAACCTCAAAAATTAGACAATTAGAAATTTTCTAAATACTTGTGTAGAAAATATTTGTTTACTTCTTAACATGGGCTATATAAACTTTCATTACATTTTTATATTAATCAACAAATTTTTAATAAAGTGTTTACTTACATTCTGAAAACAATTAAAAGTTTTTAAAAGTTTCAATTAAAATTGCATCATCTTCCTCATTAATAGCAAAAGAGAGAAAAAATTCTGTGTGATAAATGTGTATATATGGTGTAGAATGTTGTTTAGACTATGCTACTTGAGCCAGAAAATACAAAGAATAAATTTAAAAAGCATGCAAATGAATTTTTAAGTTGGATTGAAGATAAATCATATTAAATGCTACTTTTGTGTAGAAGCATGAATAAATATGTGAGTAAGAGAGCTACTTACATGCATTACATCTTTGAAATTTAGTGTAGTAAAAGTTTCTTTCATCCTTTGACTTATCCAATTGTGATACAAAATGTTTCTTTTCTTAATTACTAATTTCAACATTTGTAAATTTTATAGACAGGCCTGGATTTAGACTTGATAATTTCCTAAGCTATTTGGTATATGGGGCCCTTTGTAAGTCCAGATATTATATGTCAGTGCCAAATATGTTTTTTGGGTATGTAGAGGATTTTGCCCTTCCCCCAAGAAAGCAGGGCCCCTAAGCTGTAGCTTGTGTAGCTTATACGTAAATCCTGAGTTGTTTATAGACACCAGAATGAATTCCATTTAAAATAGAAATAAATTGTTCTATAGTCTCTTTGATTAAAATAGTATATCTAAAATGTATTTAATATCTTGACTTAATACTTAGAATTGGAAATATTTCTGTAATTAAGTGCATTTTAAGCAGTTCTTCCTGGTTTGCTGAGATTTCTTGGACTACACTATGAAAATTTCTCTGTCACTAGCCTGTTTGTATTTCACATCTTGTGAGTCGATCAGATATTTACCAAGAAGACAGCCTACCCTGACATGATCATCAACTTATAAAAGATATTGTGATTCATTCAACCAAACAAATCTTTTTTCCCCATTGTTGCATGGTCCAATTAGAATGTTCATGGACTCATAAAACTCAGTGATGCTGAGTTAACTTTTTCACATGAACTAAAGAGACTAATTTTTTATATACCGAAGCTGTTTATAATTACTCAAGAAGCAAAGAACAGAAAAACAAATTGACAGGATCTGCCATTGCTCCAGATTAAGCAGCACTTTTTAAATCTGTATAAGATTTTTTTAACCTTACTTAATGTAATGAATGCTTCAGTCACATATATTCTAGCCTGCAGAAAAAGGTTAACAAGCCACATGAGAGGGGCATCCACTTCAAAAATTATATTCAACAGAATCTGATGAACTGCATGCTCAGATACATTTATATTTGGAGCTGCGTTACATTTAGCTGTCAGTTATGCTATCAACTGGCATTTGCTGTCATCACTTGGGACAGTTTATATTGTCCTCATTAAATGAACAGGTGTGAATATCTAGTACTTTGGAATGTGCTACAAGTTTTGCTATCCTTCTCTCACTTTTCCTAAGTACTTGTAAGAGCAGCTTCTGAAAACCCAGTAAGCTATTCTATTCAAAAGTACTTGTTTCTAGCTTTATGAAGCCATTTACATCCTTCTGGCAAATGCATTTTCATTGTGTAAAGGAATGGGTTATTATAGCATGTTTACCTTAAATACAAACTTATCAGTCATAATACAAAATTATTTAAAAAATCTGATCTGCTATAAAATAAGTAATGAAGTATTGTTGTCTGTCAGTATTAACATTATTACAGAAACATGAATGTAATTTTGTTGAGTTTAACGAGTTTGTTTAACCCTTTCATCCTTTTGCTTTCATCCAATCATGTTATTAGCTGTCAGTTATCATATAATACCATCTTGTGTGAACTATTGTAAGTTTTGTACTTTTTAATGATCTAGATATCTTAATAAACAGAAAGGTTAATAACATATAGTAAAATTAAATAATTACATAAGTCCAGTTAATATATTCCATGAAGTCCTTTGTGGACTGGAAATAAATTTTATTTTTGTAACTTTGTGGGCAAAGACTGCTGCCAATAATTTCACTTTAAATGATAGCAGAATTTTGTCACTAAGCCTGATTTATGGAAAATCATAATAAAATATAGCTTTGTATATAAAAATATAGTAGTGTTCAATATTTTTTCTTTAGTTCTTACTTTATTTATTAATGTAAGCATAATTTTTCTGTATTTATTCTTCTAAAGTTGGAAGATTTATGAAATTAATATCCCTTTGGCAATCAAAATCTATTTGCAATGTTTGTTGTACAATATATTTTGTTGTGTAATATGTAAATTTTAATTCGGGTGATAACCTCAGAATTTAATCTCAAAGCTATAAGAATAGGTGAGGAAAGAGATCCTTCACAATGGGTCAGCAACCTCATATGTCTCATCTATTGCACCTTTTTCTGAGTAATTGAACTGTCTTATCTATTTTGTAACTTCAAAGATAATATCCACAAATCTTTATTATCTGCTTCACTTTCATTATAAACAATCATTGCAATAAAAAATTAATTCTCTTCCTACCTTACAACAGACAACATAGAATTTTGTAACTCCTTTTTCATTCTGAAGTATTGCCAACCAGCAGCTAAATAGTAAAATCACTGAACACTGGTAGTTCAACCTGGATTCAAGTCCTGGTGATTCGGCTGGCTACATAAGTGTTCTGGTTTTTTCCATGTGTAATGTGAATATAAGCCAGCTTTCTTTAGAAAGGAAGGCATTTATCTTTATACATTCATTGTCTTTTATGAAGACATTCACCTTGATAGGCCGATATTTCTTAACTGTATCGCTGTAATCTGAATATTCCAATCTTTTTAATTATGAGGTATTTTTTCCTGACATTTAACATTGTGTACTATATGTTAAATAATATTCTTTTAAAAAAACAAAGAAAAGAAAATAAGGATAATAAAAATCCAAAAATTAAAACCTGCAAAAATTAGTGAGAAAACCAACTGTTATTGCTACATATACATTCTGTATGGAAACGGGCATACATGATATCTGTCTTCAAAGTGAGACTTCTTTTGTCATGCATAATATATCATAGTGGTCTTAAGTGATATTGTGTCTGCCATGTATGTGTGGTGGTTGTCTGCAAAAGGTTAAAAGTAGCTCTTCATAAGCAAATTCAAAAGCTGTGTCCCTTAGAAAATTAAATTTCAAATATTGATATATTTATTCCTCTATATGGATAATAATTTTGTTAATAATCCTAATATATTTTATATATATTCCAATTTCTCTAAAGCCTTGTAGGCATTTTAATAAAAATTTTTTCTCATAAACACAGTGAAAGATTTATGAAATGGAGGCTCCTTCCCAATTTAAATTTTGGCAAGCTCTTATCTTACAATATACCACATGTTTATTGTTGCATTAAATATGAGAATTGATTTGAGGGTCTCTTGAATTTCAGGGCTCTTCTCAATTTTAACTTCTATTATCTCTATGAAATCATTTCTGTATCAATGATATAAGTAGTAATTTTTTTAATAATGTATTTATATTCAAATAATGTTAATTCTTTTAATTCCTTTTATCATCTAAAAAATAATAGACATGTTTTCATTAACAGAGCAGCAGTTATTGCCAAACATAAATGCTGGAGTTTAATGTAGCCTGAAATAGTATTGGAAAACCTAACGATACATCCAAGGGTATTGCTTCCTGAAAATATAGTTTATGCAAATTTTTAAGAACTATTTTATTGAATAATTAGTCCTTGCTTCTCTTAGGATGATCAGTGGCCACAGTATCATTTCAGTGCTGCATTAGCACTAAAATATAACTTCTAAAATTAGACAAAATAACAATCTTAGTTGGCATAGGTTTTTTAATAGAACTATAAATTCCGAGGGTGATCAGACACAGATCCCTCTTCTTCTGGAGCAAAAGGAAATATAATTCATGCTCAGTTTTAGACAAATATTTATGAATGTTTCTTAATATGGTGATGAAGAAGTGGGAATTTGAATTTATGTGTAATTTTAAAAATGCAAACAGAAAATACAAAATTACATTTCACTTCCATAAATTTGGGAATGATCAGGGGCATTATCTTAGGGCATGCAGCACATGCAGCACATGCCTGTAAATTCGAAAGAGTTTAAAAAGAATTATTATTTTTTAACTCATTTGTATAGTAAAATCCTTATTAATTACTTTAAATATATAGATTTGCATTGCTTCATTGATTTCATATAGAATTAGTAACCCAAAATGGAATGTGCTCCGAGTTATTGTATCTTTTCTAATTCTGCCTCTGCATACTATCTGTATGTCAGCATCATTAATGTAATAATGTGTTTCACAAAGGAAAAACTTTATCTCTCCTTTTCTTCCCCGACTGAGATTATTGATCTATTTTTCTCTATCTGTATGCTGTCTCAGCATAGCAATCAAGGAGAAAGAAATTGAATGTTCATTGTGTAGCTCAATTTATCTTACATTTTAGGCATTACTGTTATGCAAAAGCTTTTCTATTTCAAAGTTTGCAGTTAAGTTAAAAGATGTTTATTTAAAGATATTTATTCGTATTTCTGGGCTTCTTTCAAAATTCTGCATGATATTAAACATGTAATATTAATTGAAGCATCTTTTTTTGTGTGTGTGTGTTTGTTTGTTTAAGAAATTTCGAGCAGCATAGCTAAAAATGAAGCAGAAAGCCTTTTAAAGAACTTAGTTCAAAAAATATTTCAATATTTGATTGGGATCTGAAAAATAAAAATTACTTTAAAATTATAAAAATTAACTGCATGTGCAGAAAGTATAAAGGCAAAAAATATGAGACATACTTAAACTGCATAATGCATGGAAACTAGCTAGTTAATAGTTTATGATGTTATTTCCCCCCCCCCCAAATAAAGGTTTTATTTATAAGTTTAGTAAGTTCAGTGGGTTATTAGTATCTATTTTAAGACATAAAATATTCAATTTTTTAGTGAAATCATAAATTCTAGCCAGAGTGCACTAGAGCTTTAAATTTGAGAATCTTTGTTGTACATCTGACTGGCAATATTAATGGAAAATTCTCTTAACAGAAAATATTAATGCCACATTTTTAGCAGTTAGTAAAACTGATATTGGTACTAGAAACAGAATGAAAAGCTGAATTCCATGGGAAGAGAAAAATGGATGGCAAAGCTTCAGCAGCTGAGGAAGGAAAGTCATTGTCAAAATGTTAACCCAGAAAGAAATTTATATAGGCTGTATTCATTTGGTCAAAATACATTTAAATTAATTAAATTGATTAGAAGCCAAAATAAAAAAGCTCATATACCTCAGTGTGAAGAAAAACATTTTTTCTTTCCAATGACATATAAGTGCATTTTTGCTTTCCCCTGAATGAAAATATTTATTTTTATTTTATCATCCCATTGGACTGTATAATGGTTAGTAAAGGCTAATTACTAGTCTGAGTGGCAAGATGCGGGTTTGAATCCTGTAGAAGGATTGGTTACTTATACTTATGCGAACATAACAACAGACTACTCCTAGTGATGTACCCTGTGTAACGTTCTCGGTGATGAAAAAGCTATATGACTGAACATTTCAGCTATTCTCAACACATACACCAGAAGTGTCTGGCCATTTGGGAAAAAAAAAAAAAAAAAAACTTAGCTTTTATCCTTTGAGTCATGCCTTATTATAACGAACTTACTTGCCTTTCATTTTTTAAATTATTTCACTTAATGTTTTTAACTCTACATTAATTTATTAATTAATTTCTTATTTTGTTTAATTATTCTGGTATTCGAATTAATTGTTTACTTAATTATTAATAAATTAATTTATCATATTCTCATCCATTAATATTTTATTTAATTTTTCATTATTTATTGCTTTATCCTTTTGTTTTATATATTTATTTATTTTTTATTTACATTTCTGTCAGCATTCCATAGAGTTCCAGCACTTCTGATTTTAGAAATTAATCTCATACAAGCAATCAAGAATAGATCTTAGTAAAATAAACACATTAAAATAGCTTTAAAAAAATTCTGTAATAAAAGCAACAAAATATTAAATTCATAGATAAATTATTTATAACAAGCTGTCTTAATCAGTTTGCTGATTGCACAAATATATGAAATTATGTATACTTCTTAACTTTAAATAGAAAATGTTTTTATTGTTTGAACTGAATGATTTTATAAATTGCAATAAAAAAACATGAATACCGTATGAAGAAAACAGCAATTTCTCAGTCAGTTTCAATCAAAAAATACAGTCACATGTCTCAAAAAACAAATACATAAAAGAAATATTTTTTTTCTCCAAACAGAAATGTGTATCAAAAAATATAAACTCAATTACCCGTATTGTGAAACAGTATTATGTCCAAGTAAATAAGTAAAAAGCTCTATTCTAATAACAAAAGCAAATCTTCAAACTTTCTTGAACAGAGAGAGAAATTTCTTTCTTCTAATTCCAATTTATTCGAAATTGTATTAAATGTATTTAACACTTGTACCACAAATTACTTGAATTTAATATTCTCTATTTTTCTCTCGAAATTGAAGATAAACGTGTGCATAAATTTATATCATATGTTAATATCATCAGTATTGATAACATAAGTTGAATTTAAAGTATTTGAGTCACTGATTTTGCCAATATCACCATTAACTCTACGAGAGTTCAGCTTTTATCTGGCACTATCACTAATTAAAGATAAATTAACATAATTTATTTACTGATTATACATGGAAATATACAATTGTGTGATATGCATCAATCAAGCAAAATTAAATTATGGCTGCACGATATAAACTGTTCACTAATTTTATCTGAAAAAATTTCCATTTCTTTATTCCAGTTATTAAATCTGATGAATTTTTAAGTTTTTATTGTGTGCATTTCATTATTTTATATGCTGAGCAATATTTAGCAATATATTAATGTGCAAATATTATAGTCAACTTTCGAGTATATGTAATTCTAACTTCCATTTATAAATATAATTTTATAAAATTTGGTTTTAGCAGCATTCCCTTTATGAAAACTAAACATATGCCCCTGGGAATGATATTCTCATGCTTGTATTTAAGCAGAAAATGGAGATGATGCAAAAATTTCATATACTTTGAGACATAACTTACAACATTGGTTGTTGTCTAATGGTATATTAAACCAAATGGGAAAAAATATAAAAATGTGGTAAACAGTAAAAGCAAGAAATAGCAAAACAGTTATAATGCAAAGCTTTATGAATGACAAAAAGAATAATGTTTAAATGGTAGAATTCAAAGAATGCAATAAAAACAAAGCAATCTTATGATGCAGCAAAATTATGAATCAAGAAAATATCGAACGGTAAGAGCTTAAGGAGAAATTTAACTGGTACAGAATGCAAGAAACTCACCGACTCTAAGAACACCCCTTCCAAAAAAAAAAAAAAAAAAAAGCCAGCATCAGTGTAAAATAAAACAAACTGAAAGAAATTTCTTGAAAATCCTCTTGAGGAGGAGGGACCTGAGTTTGCTTGCCCTCAAAATTAGTAGAGTTTTAATCAAAATCTATGCCAAAATATGGTTGCTGTTTTGCCTAAATTTGAATTTTATATTGGCATGTTTCTTTTCCAGTTTGATTAAAACATAGTGGATCCATGTACTAACTTGAATAAAATCTGTTGTAGTGGATAATTACTTTTTCTTGAAAGAATTTAATATGCACTCTTCATCATTTGCTAGTTGCTAAATTATAAAAGCTTTGGTTCTTTTATCAAAAAATAAGCAAATAGTAAAAAATCTCATATGAGAAAAGAATCTTGATTTAAAAAAATGTGTTAATCCCAATGTTTGGAATGATATGATGTACGATTGCAGTTGTTGGTATGTTTGTGCTTATTTTGACAGCTGCCTTATTAACAGAAAAGTATCAAATAATATTTTCTGATTTTGGAAATGCATTGTTGTAATGCAAAAGTATTTATATTTTCATTATATGTAAAAATTCATAGGATATTGTTAAACTTGTTAAATATTTTTATTTTTGTTCTCTTTAATGGGTTCTCTAAGTATTTTCTGTTATTTAATTTTTCCCTCTTAACAACTGGGAAATGTTAAAACTCTGTATTTATTCCATATAAAGGTATAATCTGTGTGTATTTATTTTGCCATTGTATATAAATTTCTGTAAATCATTAAATCAATTTTTCAATTCATTTCTAGTGACAAATTAAGAGGACCTGATATTGAAAGCAAAGTGAGAGCAACTAGAACTATAACTGCACTTTTACAGGTGACTTTGAAATTTGATTCATATTTTTATAGCATTTAAGATTTTTTAATTCTTTTTGCAATTTATTTTGCATTTCATGATTGACCAAGTAAATGCCCTTAAATTTTTATTTTATGGTCTGTTCATTTTACAACAGAGATTAAATTTCTTATTGACATGATTTATTGCAAAAATATAATAATAATAAGATTGTATGTGAATATTGCTTCAGTGAAAGAGTTTTTCATTGCAACAGAAATGATTATTTTTTATTACAGATTTTTTTTTGATTAAGTAGTTTAGGCTTTTACAGTGGAAAACCTGGCAGAATGAAAAAAAAAAAAATTAATACAAAGGAACAATTTAGAGAAAGAGATATTTCTTGAATATTATCACTGTATATGTGAGAAAGAAAAGCTAAAAATACATATATACAGTTAACCCTTGTCGAGTGCAGATTTGCTTACATGCACTGTCATAATTTTTTCCATTTATATTGCCCAATGCTAGAATTTCATTCATATTGCATTCAATATTCATTCAGCACTGAATGTCTGCTGGCATTAACTCTGGCCAGAAGATGTAACAATTTCAATAAACAATCAAAGGATTTCCATTGATAGAAAATGAAGCCAAAGAAATTGTGCAAATTGCAAAAGCAATCAGCAGCAAAGGATTTTCAGGTTTGGAAGAAGAACAAGTTAAAGAATTAATTAAGCAATAGCAAATAAACAATTTGATGGCTGACAGCAAAAGTAATGATAATGAAGAAGAAGATAAAGCATGTGTAACTTTCAAAAAATTAAATGAATTTTAAAGAAAATCACAGGAACTGCCTGATTTTTCAATGGAGATTGACATAAAATTTTAAAAAAAAAAAGAGAACACATTATGAGGAGACGCTGAAAAACTGTGCTTCTTGCCGCAAAACTTTATAGAGTTTTATTATTAATCATTGGTCCCAAGCAAAAATCATCAGCTTTAAAAAGAAAAAGTGTATAGCATACTTATTGAGCAGTAACAAAAATTATTTCAATTAACATTTGCTTTGTTTTTATCTTTTAGCTACTACAATATTTAAGTTTGTTTGAATTATACATATTGTTACGTTATTTTCTTCCTTCACGTTCGTACGGGGTTCGTAGATTTAGACTGAATAACGATGACACTTGATGAAGTATCGAAACACACTTTATTTACCAATATCAATCAGGACAGCTTTTAAAGTCGGTAAAGATTTACTATAAATACGCTGGTATAATCAGCTACAGCCTTCACACAGTCAGGCAATAACGGTGGAGACAGCTTCACTGCAAAGCACCAGAGTACAGCTTCCGACTCTGCTTGGTCGTTCTTGGAACTCCACGCACTCTCGAGACTCTCCACACTACAGCTCGCGATGCACAACAGTATAGCTCTCGACTTAGCAAAGTCTAAGACGAAACTCGTTGATGCACTAACTCGCGATACACTAAAAGACTCTCTCGATGCACTCGGCGCTAGACTTCAAGACACACGCTCAATGACTATCAGCTCGCTAGACGAGGCATACACACTAACTGACTGTGGACCAGCAGGGTTTATATAGCTTTTGGCTTGTGTTCGAGAACATTCTGGACTAAACCAGTAAGAATTCGTTCTAGAAGGTTCTCCATCCGTCCATGGTATATCGCCAATTTTGTCGACAAATGGCCGATTTCTCTCCAAATGTAGCAACCCTGCCTTCACTTGACATTTTATGGCAAACCTAAATCTGCTTTGCGGGGAAGCCATCTTACCGCACCTGTACATTTCGTAACACTGCCCCCTCCCAAGGACTGCACGTCCCGAGCATTACAACCCTTTGTCAGAAGCCAAATTCAATACAATCGAAACATTTTAAAACATACAGATAACATAACTAAAGACATTTACACTATATACAAACTTTATACAGACACTAGATAAGAAAACTCATGCACAAGAATTATGGGTACTCCCAAGAATGAGAAGCACTAAGTACTATGGCCATAGTATGGGGCTAATCTGTCATAATGAACAACCTTGGGTTTTGAACTGAGGGATTTACAGATCCATATCACAACATCGTTCAATCTGTTGAGGACTGCATAGGGACCCTCCCATTGCAACTGCAGTTTGGGAGAAACGCCCTTACGATGACTTAGATTCCACAGCCAAACCTCGTCGTTTTCCTGGAATTGATGTTCGGTGGCTCTTGCGTCGTATGTCTTCTTCATCCTGTCTGTCGAGATGTTGATCCACTCTCGAGCAAACCTGTGTACTGTTTCCAAGCGGGCCTGGAGGTCTTGCTCCTATTCCTCAGGCAAGGAATGTACATCCGGAGGGTGGGCGAAGAGCAGGTCACTTGGCAGACGGAAATCACGACCAAAGAGCATCTGTGATGGAGAATAGCCAGTGCTTTTCTGGATGGCACTACAGTAAGCAAGCATGAACAAGGCAGCTTGTGATCCCAGTCTTCTTGGTTTTTGGAAACCATGAGCAAGAGGTGGTTCAAGATTGTATGGTTAAACCTTTCCACCATACCATCATACTGCAGATGTAACAGGGTCGTCTGCGTTTTGTTGATTTCCAGCAAGTCGCAGAGTCCCTTGAACACAGCCGATGTGAAGTTCCTGCCTTGGTCGGAATAAATCTGGGGGGAGAGGAGTCCCAAATCTGCACACCCAATTCTGTAACAGAACTTCAGCTGTCATGACAGCTTCTTGCTTTGGAACTGGGTAAGCTTCAGGCCACTTCGTAAGTAATCCATGACAACGAGGATGTATTTGTTGCCGTCCGTGGTCCGAGGAAAAGGTCCAAGTATGTCGATGGCAATTCGCTTGAAAGTCTCTCGTACATTGTATCGCTGCACCCTTCCTTGGCTACGGCCCTTCGGTCCTTTCCTGGCTGCCCAAGCATCACAAGATCGGCACCACTTCTCAACATCGTTTTCGCCGAACTCCAGAAGAAGTGCTCTCGGACCTTGTTTAGTGTCTTCATACAGCCAAAATGCCCTCCTGTTGAGCTGCTGTGTATTTCCTTCAGAACATCAGGTATTTGGTTTCGAGGAAGCAGCAGCTGCCATCTCTTATTAGTTCCATCATTGCTGTCGATATAGACTCCATTTCGGAAGTGGAGTGAATCCCAGAGAGCCCAGTACCTTTTAGTTGCAGGGCTGAAAATGGAAATGTCCTGCCACTTGGGTTTTGTACTGGATGATTCCTTCAGTTCTTTTATTGACCTAATGTCAGGATCCGCTGATTGGTCTTCTCTAACTTTTTCATCACTCCACAAATCTGGATCAGTAGATGTTGAAGATGTTACTTGCCGGATACTTGGATTCACCAACCCGTACTTAGCCCAGCCCTTGAACATTGGCTGCAGTGTGCAGGACAAGGCTTCCTGTATAAAGCATCCACATTTCCGTGGGAGGAGCCTTTACTTTGTTTTATATCAAAGTCATATTCCTACAGTCTTTGAATCCATCTGGCTATTTGTCCTTCGGGATTTTTGAAATTCAGTAGCCAGGTCAGAGAAGCATAGTCGGTCCGCAATAAGAATTTCTGCCATAGAGATAATGATGGAAATGTTCTATGGCCTATACGATAGCAAGCAATTTTTTACAGGTGATGCAATATTTCCTTTCCGGTTTGGACAAGCATTTACTCCAACTCGCTCTTGACTATTAAGCATTTGAGAAAGGACAGCTTCCACACTTTCATTGCTTGCATCTGTGTCTAATATAAATTGTTTGTCGGTCTTCGGATGCACAGGCATATATGTTAATGCCGCCTTCAACTGATTAAAGGACTTCTCGCACTCCTCAGTCCACATGAATTTTGCATTTTCGAAGGACTCAGTTTAAGGTTGGCATCTCTCAATTTCTGGAACACCTTCCTGATATTTTCTAGATGTTCCTCAAAAGTACGTCCCACTGTAATGATGTCATCTAGGTAGACCAGACAAGATTCGTAAGATAGACCATGAAGCACTGTCTCCATCAGGCGTTCAAATGTTGCAGGGGCGTTACAGAGTCCAAAAGGCATTACTTTAAACTGCCAGAGTCCTTGACCGGTAGTGAATGCAGTTTTTTCTCTATCATCGGGATGAATTTCCACTTGCCAGTCACCACTCTTGAGGTCCAGAGTGGAAAACCATTTGTGTCCTGATAGGGTGTCTAAAGTATTGTCAATCCTGGGAAGAGGGTACTGTCTTTCTTAGTGACATTATTTAGTCTCCGGTAGTCGACACAAATTCTTGTCGAGCCACCTTTCTTCCAGACGAGAACTATAGGAGATGCCCATGGACTTGTGGATGGTTCGATGATATCATTTTCTTGCATCTCCTTCAGCAGATTTCCAACCTCTTCCTGTTTTGCGAATGGTAGACATCTGGGATGCTGCTTTATCGGAGAGTGATCCCCCATATCAATTCGATGTTGCGTCAGTTTTGTGTGGCCAACATCTCTGGATGTCCTAGAAAATAGATCTTCAAATTATTTAATCGTTTTCTCTGCCGCATGTCTTTGTTCGTGGGTTAAGTTTGCACTCTGCAGAAGTTCTTATATTAATTTACTAGTTGCCTCAGTCGGAATTTCAAGTGGGGCTTTGTAAATGCAAGTAACTGGAGTGCATGCTGCTAACACTTCACCCTTTTGGATGTTTCTCAAAAGGATTTTTTTCTCCAAAAGGTTTTTGGCTAACATTCACCACTCTCACAGATTTGCCCCGCATCCTTAACGGCATCAACGAAATCTTTTGAAAGGTCTACTAATGAGGAGGCCACTAATATCTCTCTTGGGATATTTCCAGGGTATTCAATTAGTCCAAATCTGAAGCTATTCTTTTCTATGGAGCCGGCTATTAATAATTCTGTCATCAGAGGGATGGTGATATATGTTTTTGTTGTTACTTGGTGAGCTGAGGGAATGCCGCTCTTCATTTCAAACGCAGTTATATCTTCTTTTGCGGAACGCATTTTGTTACGTTTAAAGTCCAAAGAAAAGTCGTACTTCTGCAAAAAGTTCAGTCCGAGTATTAATTTGTCCGCGATATTAGCGACGAAAGCTAAGTGCTGGTAGATCTTATTTCCTAAGGTAATGGTGATGTTAATTTTACCTTTAATGGGAATTTTATCACCTGTCACTGTTTGTAAAGTCACACAGGGTTGAGTCCAGCGCAACGTTTCACTCAATTCTCAAGCTACATCTGTTCTCATGATGGTTGCTCCTGTATCTATGATCTTCTTACAAGGATGCTTATTCATGTATCCTTTGACGAACAGTCCGTTATCTCCGCCGCTCATTGAAGAGATTTGAAGAACTTTCAGAGGGGCTGCATCTTTGCCTGGCAACCTCCGCCCCGTGAGATTGTCGCATTTTAGTTTCCCTGATTTTGTTTCGCGGAAGCTCTCTTCCAGTCTTGATTCACGTGACAGTTCCTGCTGAGATGTCCTTCCAATCCGCAGTTCCAGCACTTGATGATTTTCTTCACAGTATTGGTTTTATTAGGTCATCTTAACTCCTCCCGAATTTCTCTTATTTCTTTTTTAGTTTCGAGATATCAAAATTTGGATCTTCTATTTGAACCACTCTAATAAAATGGCGATCTCTTCGAGTTGCTTGTTGAGCCGATTCGAACTTCATAGCATAGACCAAGGCAGATTTCAGGTCTTTCAGATCTGCCAATCTGAGAGCGTTCTGAATTTCCGCATCCTTAACGGCATCGATGAAATGCATTATACCAGATTTTCTTATCAAAATTTGGATCTTCTATTTGAACCACTCTAATAAAATGGCGATCTCTTCGAGTTGCTTGTTGAGCCGATTCGAACTTCATAGCATAGACCAAGGCAGATTTCAGGTCTTTCAGATCTGCCAATCTGAGAGCGTTCTGAATTTCCGCATCCTTAACGGCATCAACGAAGTGCATCATACCAGATTTTCTTGGACAGTCCGGATATGTTTGATGCGCCAACCTCTCGATGTCAGATGCAAGTTCTTGAAGGCTTTCCGTGATTTTCTGCTGGCGGGATTTCAACTGCAGAATGGCTACAGTCCTTTGCGCACTTTTCCCCAAATCTCATTTCCAGTGCATTCGAGAGGGCGTTGAAGTTTGAAATCTGGTCTTTGGATAGGACCCCTAAGATATCTGCAGCAACTCCTTGGAGTGACGCAGCCAACTGCGAAGCCTTCATGTGGGAGTCCCACTTGTTATTTTCTGCCACAAGACCCCAAACTGGGTCTTATATACACTCCATGATGATTTTCCATCGTATGTGCTTGGTTTGATAACCATATGAGAGTACACTGGGGGAACCTTAAAATCTTCAGCTTCGTTCTGGTTTTCTTTAGAAGCATCTACTTTCCGGAATTTTCTCAATTTTTCTTCAAATCGTGCTTCTGCAGCTGCTATTTTTGCTCCAGTATCCTCTTTAAGCTCCACGATCTCATTTTTAATCTTTTCTTGTTCCACTTCCATCTGTTCGAATTTTTCTTGCATCTTTTTTTGAATGGCTTTTATTTTGCTCTTGATCTTAGCCCTTATCTCCTCCTCTCTGGCTTTCATCTCTTTCATTTCAGCTTTCATCTCTTCATGTCTGGCTTTTAACTCGGCTAAAAGGTCCATCAAAGTCTCGCAATGCACAAGAGTATAGCTCTCGACTCGGCAAAGTCTCTAACTAACTGCAGACCAGCAGGGTTTTTATATATCTTTCAGTGATGCTAAAGCAAAGTTTAAAATTTATAAAATTAAACATTTAGCAATGGTAGAAATAAAAACTTCTTGAGATAATATGTTGTGCAGACATTGAAGACAATAAAAAGGTTTCAAACTTAACCAATTTATTAACAATATAATAAAGAATAAAAACACAGAAAATAAATTTGAACAATATCAGAGTCTTAGGAAAAATATAATATAACCATCATTCATCAAATAATATTTTTACCTGCTCTCCAAAAACACTGGCATTCAATACAAACAAAATGTCCTAAACAGTAATTATGCGGCCTCACATGAAATTGGCTACACATTCAATAAGTCCATGATCAATGGTCAAGAAAACATTTGAAAATTAAATCAAGTTCTTGAAAGCGCTTAAAACCGGCCTAACTCCGTTTACATTAGTTGAACACGAGGAATCGCCGCTAACGTATTTTAAATGCCACCTTCATGAAGAACATGGATGCCGCCCACAGCAGTCACTCGCATGGTAGCCTCTGGAACCAAGGAACTTAACGGAACAATCATCTTGTGGACAGGAACCAAGGAACTTATTCTGGAACAATCATCTTGTATACAGGAACCAAGGAACTTATTCTGGAACAATCATCTTGTATACAGGAACCAAGGAACTTATTCACCGGACTGCACGCATCCATCTGAAGGGGCTGGAAACCGCACACCCAAGTGCCAGGAAAGCAGGAACTAGAAGGGCTGAGAACGACGCGAGATACTTATAGCAGAAGTAGGCATGACGTCATCTCATGGTAACCAATCAGCTATCGGCACGAATCGGCTTTCCAGATGACGTAACATCACGTTTCGTTTTTGCATCTCAAGTGGGTTGAAACAGTCCGTTCTCAACGCAAACAGTGGCAGTAAGAAAAAGAAGTAGAAGTAACTACTATATTACATTAAAATAAGAACTAAACTAAATAAACATTTCAAGGAGGAGAAATGATGCAGTAAAAGGTTTACAATAAGTTATATTTTCCAACATTCAGCTTGTATTCGAGAACATTCTGGGCTACCAGTAAGAATTCGTTCCAGAAGGTTCTCTATCCGTCAATCGTATATCACCAATTTTGTTGCCAAATGAGCGGTTTTTAGCCAAATGTGGCAACTTTGACTTCACTTACCATTTTATGGCAACTGTAAAACTGTTTTGTGGGGAAGCCATCTTATAGCACCTGTACATTTCGTAACAGTATGTTCTTCACCTGAATTACACCCAACTTTTTTTCCATTGTAAATTGACTATCCATATAAATGTATAAATTACCTTAATTTGCCCCATGCATAATAATAACACAGTCCCTGATTGGCAAGGGTTTACAGTACTACATTTGAGAAAAAGGTATTTTTGATTCAATTTAGGACTAATTTGATAGTTAACAAGCCTCAAACTTTAAATAGTTATTGCTTGTTAAAATTTTAAATTTGTGTAAGTGTTGTATGTGGATTGATTTCTTAATAATCCAACCAACTAGTTGTGGAGTTATATAATAATATCCAGATATTTTAAGTTTTTTCTATTTTGTCATTAATCTCTAAGAAATGTAAAAATTACAGTGCATGTTATTAAACAACAAATTCAAAAAGTAAGCAATCTTTGCTTTTTTTTTATATCTAGTATATTTTTATATCTAAAAAATGTATCTCATGATAAGAAGAAAGTTTTAAATCTTTAAGAAATTCTGTTATTTTTACAGGGTCCATTGGATGTTGGTAATTTCTGTTTAGCTCAGAAAGGAGTTGTAGAAATGATGTTGGCTATGGCATCAAGTGATGATGAAATTCAGCAGGTAAAAAATTACATAAAGAATGAATTAATAATATATTTTATCTCTTAATTAAAGCACTTTATTTTGTATATTACATTTACTGACATTAAACATTATGAAAAAAGATTTAACAGTGAGTAACAGCAGTGAATGACATTAGATGTTATAAATAAATTAATACAAATGATTCAGTTGTGTCCATTTATGTTGAAGAGTGAAAAATATTTTTCTTTATATAATACAATTTAATCATTAAAAAAAACTTTTCAGATTCGCAAAATATTCTTATTTATTTGCAATTAATAAATCTTGCACTATGTAATTTTATAAGTATTTATTTCCATTGATCTACTAATCTGCAAGTAAATCATGTTAGTTTGTAATTAGGTAATATATCATTATATAAAATAAGTGAAAATGACTTTTTCTATTTGGGAAAGATTAATTTATTTACTTGTTTTCTATTTTTCTGTAATTTGAAAACTATGAAAAGATTTAATAATTAATTTTCTTTAGCAGCGCATACAGCACATAATCTGCAACTAAGGAGATGGCTTATTCTCATATTTATCATTAAAACTGTAGTTTAATTGTGGGTTAAAAGTGCAAAAATTTAATTTGTGCTGCTAATTTTATTATTTTATATCAATAAAAGTAATATCTTAGTTTTAATTGAATGGCAATGGGTAAGCACTTTTTAACTCTTTTTTTTTTCCCTTTAAATTTAAAGGTAAAAAGAGTAAAAATAAAAACATGTGCATTGTGTTTAGTTTATGTTTTGATATGCCAGAATGAAATATTTTACTCTTTCAACATGAGTAAAATTTTTTTAAATACATTTTTCACTTGTATTGAAATTATTTATTTAGATTAATGAAAAAATATGACAGAATTATGCTAATGTTATGTATTCAGATAGGATGTTGTCTGTGTTGCATTTTTGAAAAATTAATGCAGATTTGGCCCCCAACTATCCAAATCATATTTCTTACTCTCATAAGCATAGCTTTATCAAGATTCTGGCAATGAATTGCAGTTATATTCTGCTATGTTTCCCTCAAAGTAATAGTAATTTTTTATGCAGAAGTTTATTGTTCTAAACCAGACTAATGTCTTTTTATCCTGCAGAATCTTTGAGCTAGCTGCTTCAATTTCTATATACAGTGGAACCTCAAGATACGAGCTTCTCTATATGCAAGAAATTTGAGATATGAGGAAAGTATGAGCAAAAGATTCATCTCTAAATACGAGCATTGACTCGAGTAAGGAGCAATGAGCCAGACTGTTGGTATGCATGGCGCCATTTCCCGATCCTGCTCGATTCGGGGAATCACCTTATCAGATCACTCAGTGTTCTTTGATCTACATGTTTGTGCACTTACGAGCTAATTGTTTTTCACAGTTAATGTGAAAATAATTATTTCATGTTGCCTTCCAAGAAGATTGTTGCCTCAGAAGTGCTGTAAAGAAAAAGAAGAAGCCATGGCCATTGAAATTAAAGAAATCACAGATATACATAAGCATGGTGTAAGAATGATGGAATTGGCAGACTTACGGCCATTCAACATCAACAAAAAGGAAGAAATTAAGAAACTTGATGTGGCCAAAAGAGTTACTGTTATTTCCAAGCACTATCAAAAACTCATAGGAGATGTTGAGAAGCTGTTGTTTGAGTGTAACGAGAAGCATTTAAAAGGTAATTCGGTGTCGGAAGCTAGCATTTTGCCTAAGGCTAAGAATCTGTACTTGGACCTTCTCCGAAAAACACCAGATACATCAACTAAAAATAAGATGGTAATGAGATTTTTGGAGGTGCGGAACCAATTAACTAGATTTCCATTATTCTTGATGGGAAAGTTTGTTTCTAGACACGAGAAATTCACTATATGAGCTCAATGCTGGAATGAATTAAACTCGTATCTCAAGGTTCCACTGTACAACAGAATAAATCTGCCTGTCTTAAATCTAGTATTAATGGGTAAAAATCTCAAGATAGATTCAAAAGTTCTGTGCATATCATGTATTTTTACACAGGTCTATGTATTTTAAATAGTAAATGCACTCATATTAGATATAAATTAACACTTTCAACATCCTAAACAAAAATGATTTGGGCAATACTTTGTGCCTGACTTTTTATTGGAGAATTTTCTGAAAGTGAGCAATTACCATGAATCTATTCTAATATATCTTTTTGGTGTTTAACGAAATTGTTATTTCATAATGTAGGGAAGATTAAAAGAAAGTTTATTGTTGCAATAAAGCCTGATCGTGATTTCAATGGTTTATTGATTTTAAGGCTATTTTTAAGCATGAGTTTGAATGTGTAATATTTTAGGAACAACTAATAAATTTCAACACAAAGCTATTCTTTTAAAAATGCTATATTCATTCATTTTCCTTTTCTATGGCATTTTTCTCTTAAGAGTATTCTTTTTAAATGTTACATGTTTCTTTAGAGAGTTGCTGCTGAAGCAATTATTGCAGCTGCTTCGAAGAAAGATAAATGCACTGCAATTGTATCAATGGGAATTGATATTTTGAAGAAATTATACCAGTCTAAAAATGACAACATTAAAGTTAGAGCTCTTGTTGTAAGTATATTTTTATTTTTAATATTTTATGTATATAAATGTGTGTGTTATTTATTAATTTTTTGTATTCATATAATTAGCCCTGTTAGTATAATTCAATATGTTTTTAAAAGAAGAGTCTTACATCTTCCCTTAGTCCATATTTTAAGTGTACCATATGAAACATAATCTGAGTAAATGTAATTGAAGAAAATATTAAATATGAGAAATGGTAACATACATACGAGGGTTGGAACTTTAATAGTGGCAACACAGCTGAAAAAACGCTACGCAACAAAACCAAAGAATATCGCATATACCACACGTGAACTATATACCTACCTTACCTCTCAGCAAAAAGACTCGTCCTGCCTACGTCACGCGCATGCGGAGTGATGCGAAAAACGGATCCTTGTATTACCTCGCGGTCTAAAGTAAGTGTTGTCAGGATGTTTTCAAAACAAGAACAACGATGTTGTATAAAAATTGAATGTGCCAGAGGTAGTACAGCACAACAGTGTCATCAAGGGCTTCAAGAGGCTTGCGGGGAATCTGCATTGCCTTACAGAACCGTAGCATGATGGATGAAAGCATTCAATGAATGACAGCAAAATATGGCAGACATGCTGCAGCCAGGTCGTCCGAGTGTCAGCGATGCAGACGTGCAAGCTGTTGCCGCACTAATGGACAGCGATCGTCGCCAAACGGTTCGTCAGTTGGCCGGACAAACAGGATTAGCACATACGACTGCTGCACATTCTGAAGGAACACCTGTCCATGAGAAAAATTGCTTCACGATGGGTTCCACATCAATTGACGGAAATGCAGAAATTTCGGGTTCGGGCAGCATTACGATGCAATGCTGCCCGAACCCACCTGAAGCGCTATAAGCGCGAAGGAGATGCTTTTTTACGCCGTATCATTACGCTGGATGAGACTTGGGCCCAATCGTACCAGCCAGAACTGAAACGCCAATCAACCGAATGGCGTCATCACGTGTCACCACAACATTCGAAATTTTGTCAGAACCCCAGCAATGTGAAAGTTATGATGATTCTCATGTACGACTGTGATGGTGTCATCCTAACACATACCATTCCCCCATAGCAGACCGTCACTGCGCAGTATTACTGCTCATTTTTAGAGCACAATCTCCAACCAGGTTGAGAAAAAAAACGGCGACACTTTCTGCAGAACGCTCCTCTCATTTTGCATGACAATGCTCGGCCGCATGCAGCGCAAGCTGTGATTGATTTGTTCAAACAATGGGGCTGGGAAGTGCTTTACCATCCACCATGCGGCAGTAGACTGGTCCATTCAAACTATCAACAAAACATTCGCTGCTACAAGTATTCTGCGACTTCCACATCGTTGGAAACGGGTTGTACACAATGCTGGCGACTATATTGAAGGATTGTAAAACATGGTGACATGAATCACTTTTGTATTCCTTGTAAATAAATAGTTGCCACTATTAAAGTTCTAACCCTCGTGTTTTTGAAAGTCTGAATGTTAAGTAATTTTTACTGTGTAACAAAAAAAAAAAAAAAAAAAAAATTAGTACTATTTGTAGTTAGGAAATTAATTAATTTTTTCCTCATGTGCATACTGTTATGGAAGTCTAAATTTTTGCATTTCCATTGGGTTACTTTCACTAATGCCGAAAATTAGAAAACCATGATTTCAAAAAGGAATGAATTTACATAATATGTAGAATCTGAAGATTTTCATTGTTTAAAATGTTTTCTGAGATGTAAAAGTGGCAACCATATTTCAAAAGTACTGTGACCATCTGACTCTTTTTGCCTTTTTTTTCAGTGCATAAATTCTTTCCCTTTTTTCTGTAGACTACTTTAAAAAGAAAGCATGCAAGGATAATCTGAGAACTTTGGATAAGTTAGAAATGAATGGAACATTTACAGTTTAGGAAACTTCACATGCAACATTGTAAATATGTAACTTCCAGTATCACTACTGTGTACTCTTTGGCATCTAGCAATATTGACAATACATAGCATTTATGGTAATATCTTTATGTAAACTGAGAAGTTTAGAAAACTTGGTAATTAAGTTTGCATATTAAGATACAGAATAAGCGATGTGTTTATTTTCTTTAATTCCCAGTCTTCTGTTATATCAATTACCCTGCTAATACACTGGTTTTCTTTTAATCTTTTTCTGGTTTATTGTGTCCTATGTTCATAATTGGGACCATTACACTAACATCAGTAACTTCCTTTACTGAGTCCAGACTTCCATGTTTGTTTGCAAATAAAATCAGTCCAATATTTATATATGGTGTTACAGCATGCACAAAGTTTATCATATTACTTTTTATTTCCATTGATTTCTCAGCGTATAACTTAGTGTGTTTACACTCCACTTCATTTTTCAATTACAGAATGGAATTTTATTAGCGTACCATATGTTAAACATGTCTCCTATTTTCCCAAAAGCTGACATTTCATCGTTTAAAATATTTCTCCCAATAATTAGGTTATACTCCCAACGAAAGCCCAGATTTAATAGGCCCCAAAAAAACTGTCAAAAATTGAAAATATTTTTACGCTTAAAATTTAAATAAATGTTTTAATTTAAGAACATCAAGTTTTATTTGACCAAGCAATACTGTCAGTTCATGTCACAGCTTCATTGCAGCTTAGTTGACATGGAGCGTTATGGAAAGTAACAGCAAGTTTTAATTGTGAAAACTCATTACAAGTATAGCAGGTGTTTCACACATGCTATTAGGAAGCTTCATGCAGTCTTTGATAGTGCACGTAATGAACACGTTGACTACCCAACACAAAATAACTCGCATTAACGCTCTTCTTCAGGATGCCCAATATGAGTTATCTTGTAGTTTCTTGATTTGCCACTTTTGTGCCACTAGAGTTACTTACTCGCTTAGCACTTGTTTTGGCTGTACCAAGGCAACAAGTCGAAGCATGTCTGTATGAATCAACTTGTGGTGGGCTTCTGCGAAAAGCTTTGTCTAACAAAAGCGGACTCCGAGATAATTCGTGGGTCCTTTTTTTTTTAACCCCCCCCCCAAAAAAACAATTTCTGTAAGCCTTTTAATGATTGTTATGAATCATAATGAGTATTTTTAATAATATAATATGATTAAATCAATTTGGCTTCTTGGACTGGAATCCGAAAAGTGCAGTGACAGATATAAGAAAAAGTGACTGTGAATTTCTTCGAAAGAGTGTTGTGCTATAGAGCAAGTCATGGAGAACATTTTCCTGATGTTATTTTACATTCTTAAATTAGAACCTTTACCTGTTATAAGTATATAAAAATATTTCCCATTTTATAAAACTAAAATATTTTACTGGGCATATTAAATCTGGTGCTTTGGGGGGGGGCACCTTTTATGAGGCTTGTAGTGAATAAGCAGATAAATAGGATTTTGTGTCTGAATTTTTAGATTTAGTGGCTACTCTTTGCTATACTGCATTCAGAATTTCCAGAATAGAAATTGCTTTGTTGTCCTTTATATCTTTCACATTTCTCAGATTTTCCCACTATCATTTTGGTTCTTGATGTCCCATTCCCCCTTCTCTCCAAGTGGAAAAAAGAATTCCAAAAATCTAGATACAGGAAAAAAAATCAAAAAATCTTAGTGGCCAGAGTACCTTCAAAGTGATATTCACAATTTCTCTTATTGAAAAATACATGTTAATTTTTACTAGTCTTATTTTTAACTTGAAGCGTTAAAAGCATGTGAGGGTAGTAGTTTTCTTGAACTATTAAAAAATTAATATGATTGATTACTATTTTCTCATTAAATGTTATTAAAACAGTTTTATATAATTATATGATATATTTTTTTGTTTTGATAAAATAATAATTCTCTTAGGGTTTGTGCAAAGTTGGCTCTGTTGGTGGATTTGATGCATCTATCAAAATGTTTAGTGAAGGTTCATCTTTAAAGCTAGCACATGCTTGTCGCAAGTAAGTTGCATTTGTGTGGTTCTTTGTATAGATAATTTCAGTAGTATTCTTTTTAATAAGTCATTTTTCTGAATGAATATCTCTCAATTGAATTTGATAATGAAAAGAAGTTTGGGCTTATTTTGTCAATATATATATATATATATATCAAAGTAGCGTATGAAAGTATATAAACCTCACTTATATGTTAAAGTATATAAACCTCATTTATATGTTCATGTTAATATATGTTATATTTAAATTATGAATTTGCAGCTGTTTTCCATTAAAAGAATATTTGATTATTGTACTGTAAATATGAACATTTCTAACAACGTTTGAACAATATGCTTTAAAATATATTAAATGTAATTTTTGTGACTGAAATAAAACAACACAAAATTTTCCAATTTAAATTGAATGAATATTTTTATTTATATATTTTGTGTGTCCAGAACATGTCAGAAGTATTTAAGGCTTTTGTAATATATTAATAATTTTAGGTTTCTAGTTAATCCTAAGAGAGATAAAGATTTGAGGAAGTGGGCTGTGGAAGGCCTTTCTTATTTGACATTAGATGCTGATGTTAAAGAAGAACTTATTGAGGATCAGAAAGCTCTACAGGCACTCTATGAGCTCGCTAAGGTTTGTCTTTTACTTGTGTATTTATTTTATGTACCTTTTCTTTTTCTTAGAATATCTTAAAATGGAAAATAGTCAGTTTGCTTTCAGCTTTCAAATTTTTAATTCATTTTGTTTTTCTAAAAGCATTACATTTAATTTACTATTAATGCAGAAAACAGGTGGTAGTTACTTGATTTTTGGCAGTTTATAATTCTTACTTGGATTTTGTCTTAGACGAAAGGGCAATTGCCTAGAAGGGCTATTAATTTCATTTTGCATTCCTTCAATAGAAGCGGCGAATCATTTTTTAAGTTGTTGCCACCAAATATTACAGCCCTATATTATAGTTAAAGAAATTAAATAATGAAGAATCTGCATAATTGTATGTATGTTTCTCGCATAGTGATAAAACAGTGGTGCCTAGAGCCACCAAATTTTGAGTAATGTACAGTGCACAAAAAAAAGGGGGAAACTTTGAATCTCCCGTTCTACTGGACCAATTCACAAAATTCAAATTGCGTTCTTCATATCTCGAAAGCGCGACTTAGGATATATATTACATTTATATATACCTCTATTCTAACATAGTTATTTTGACACAAAATCGGACTTTTTCTAAAATAAAATTCAATGTTTTTCCATATTTCGATTCTACGACTCAAATTATGCCTAAATATGAAATTTTGTCAAATTTGGTGCAAAATTTAACGGAGAAATTCAAAAATTTATTTTGCCACTTTTTTTTCAGTTTGCACCAAGAATAGTTCACTTGGCGACCTTCTTAATATATGGCAACCTATTTTCCTTTTCCGTGAGAGGGAAAAATCATGACATTCCTTTCTTTCAAATAATACTCTTTATATTATATTTTTATGTTATTATTTTAAGTATTTTTTTCTTTTTCGAATTTCATTTTAATTGCTAAAGCTGCATAGTTTCTTTTTAATAACTGTTTTAAAAATTTCTATTTACCCATTTGAACTGTGTAATTTAAATATAAGGTGCATCGTTTATTTTTTTTATTTTTTTTTTTTTCAAATATTTGTCTTTATAATTTTTTTTTGTCACAGTTATTATTTTAGGTAATTTTTAAATTTTTATTTTAATTCTTTGTGTTGCATTGTCTCTTCAAATTTACTATTTTTTCATTCGAGTTCTATCAATTTTCCACGATTTTATTTTTCTATTTATTTGAATTGCGTTTCTTTCGGAAGAATACATTGTGTCCCAGACTACAATGCATCTGAAAACTGAATATATGAATAGAGAAAATACAGTAAAGCACAGTTAACACGCCTTTTAATGTTCCGTTCAGAAAAGATATATAAATGAGAAAGATGTATAACCAAAATTTTATCTTAGGATGATTTTCATATATTGCTTTAAATAGCTTTAACATTGTGTTCATTGCTTTACACCTACATTTAATTTCTTAAAATTTTATTCATTTTTTAGTCAAATATTTTATTTTTGAAAGTGCAGGAATCAAATATCATAAGATTAAAAAGTTTTTTTAAAAAAATACTAAATTTTATGCATTTTTTTTTTCTTTCTTTCTTTCTTTCTTTCTTAATGGCTTGCTTTTTTCCTCAGGCATTCTGAAAGTATATTAAAAGGCATCCAAGTTTTCGAAACATCTTGGTATTTCTGACATTTATTTTAAATAAATTTATCGCCTTCCATTCCATAAAGCCAGCAATGGCCGAGTGGTAAATGGCAGTTTGCTCTGGGGTTCGAAAATGGGCTGGTTGCATGGGCATTTTTGCGGTTTTTTTCATTGTAATGTGTATGCCAGCTGGTTTCCTTTGGAAAGTTCCTTTTAGGGCAGATATCCCTGTTTTGCCTTAACTTAATAATCCAGTTCAATCCATTTCATCAGTACTTGGTCTAAGCCTTCATCAGTCTTTAGAGGATAAGCATTTTAAGGCATGAGAAGAAAGGAAAGACTGGTTTCATCAAGAGGGAAAACGTCTTTAGGTAACATCCACAAATATCACTGGATAAATTCATGAATATTCAAATAATTCTACTAAGAAATCATGGGATTCTCCGTTTATGATGATATGATGTTCTATAATGTAATTTAAATTTATACAAACATATAGTCGAAAACCAGTCGCTCTTCACTTTAATCAGTAATGATATCGTTTTTGTCTTTTCCATTAGCACAAGCTCAATTGATGGTATTACACTTTGAAGTGTTTTCTCTTTGAACACCCAAATTCCTTGAAATATTCTGAAAGTATATTCAAAAGCATCCAACTTTTCGAAACACCTTGGTATTTCTGACAGCCAAAATCCCCTTCAAATTTTTGTTTCCTATTCTCCCTGCATTTCTTCCTTCTACATTTATTTTCAGTGCTCACCACAAGAAAATTAAAATTTTTTGATTGTTACACTTCCATAAATTTTGCATTGTTGTCAATTTTTTTAAATATCAGTTACATCAACTGCATTTCAGTTGAAGATAGCATTTTATTTTCTAGACATTTTAACTATAAATAACATTTTAAAGCAAAGTCCAAAGGATAAATATTTAATTTAATAGATTTTTTTAAATGACAAAGAAATAAAACAGTCCAGCAGTGTTTATTCTGTACCACCGAGTGACCTGATTCTTATATCGGCTGAAACAACCTAAATCATATTAAAGATCATGTGTTTTTTTTTATACAATCTATAATGCGAGAGAAAAATTAGCTTCTTAAAATATCCTTTCTAACAGGATTAATATAAAAATTTATATTTTTATATATATATTTTTTAAAGCTGGAACATGAACCCAAACTGTCAATCTTTTAAAGTTTAATTTACATGGTGGTTTTCGACTTTGAAAATAATAAACTACTGGTCATAAAAGGAAAACTATCGGACCAAATGTTATCAAACTTGGTAATCATGTAAAGGAGGTTATGGGAATTCATTTTCCGCGGGGAAAAAAAAAGAGTTCAAAAACTCACCACCAGAGGGAAATGGCACTGTATGCAATATTGTTAAATGAAATAGGACATGAAGACATTGGTTTAAAACGTGTTTAATCGTTTCTGAAACGTGTTACAAAGCATGCTCAATGTAGCGTCCAGCATTTTCCGAAAGCAAGTTAAATCCTGTTGCTGCATTCTCAACAGCAACTCTTAGCATATCAGGAAGAATGTTATGGACATGTGAGTGTATCACATTTTTCATTTCTGCGAAATTATTCAGATTATCACCATAAACAATGCTTTTGAGATAACCCCATAGCCAAAAGTAACAGAGGGTGAGGTCTGGTGACCGAGGTGGCCAACAAGTGGGGAAGTGTTGGCCTATAAGACATTCATTTGTGAAATGTCCCTAAGTATCTGTGCAACACATGTGAGGTGGGGCCGAGCCCTGCATAAAACCATGTTCAGTTCATGTATCAGGAAACATTTTAACATTGACTCTAAGCGAGCTGCAGTCACTGTGGTTCAGCTGTCTACTGCTCTTCAAAGAAAAATGGTTCAGTTATGAAACTAGCTGTCATTCCACACTGTTTGGTGTGTAATGACTGCTATGCAATGGAATTCAATGGAACTAGGTAAATAACATGAGGGATTTCTTTGGCCCAAATCGATTAAAAGTGTTTTGAATCACTATCTTCATGTTTTAGGGCTGAATTCAGGCTTCAAACATTACAAATTAGCGATCTGTAAAAAAACGATTTCCAGATTGTACGCACTTTTGCGATTGATTTGCGATCTCGCATTTTCTAATCACTAATTCGTGGTTTTCACGAACAAATTTCTCCCTTACACAGATAGCACTTGACTTTTATCGCCTTTAAATGGTAATTTACTTAGTTCAAAATTTCTTCATGTTAAACCCGTGTAACAAAAGGTGAAGTTAGATTTCGACCCTTATTTTGTTTAACAATATTGCATACAGCGTCATTTCCCCCCCAGGTGATGAGGTTTCGAACTTTCTTTTTTTCGCGGAAAATAAATTCCCATGACCTCATTTTCATGATTACCAAGTTTGATAACATTTGGTCTAGTAGTTTTCCTTTTATGACCATTTCAAAGTGGAACTTTAATTATAATTACCCTGTATATTATTAAATTTTAATTTGAAGTTATTCATTATATGTATACCATGCGTCTTCTAAATCCTAGTAACTTATCTTCTAAATTTTAGTTCCGACAACAATTCCGTCAAAAATTCCGAATTACTGAAGCTTAAGTAAAAGGTTTAGTATATATTCACTGTATGTTAATAAAGTAATCAGAGTGTAATAAAAATAGATTATAGAATTTATGCTGATGCAACTTTCTGTCTGAATGCACAACATGTAATGGAAGATTATAATGATAAATTAACATTGAATTTATTGGGTTATCGAAATATTCAATTTGAAATTATCTTCTAAATTCTAGTTCCGACAACAATTCCGTCAAAAATTCTGAATTACTGAAGCTTAAGTTAAAGGCTTAGTATATATTCACTGTATGTTAATAAAGTAATCAGAATGTAATAAAAATAGATTATAGAATTTACGCTGATGTATATTTCTGTCTGAATGCACAACATGTAATGGAAGAATGATAATTTAACATTGAATTTATTGGATTATCAAAATATTCAATTTGAATTATCTTCTAAATCCTAGTTCCGACAAAAATTCCAAATTACTGAAGCTTAAGTTAAAGGTTTAGTATATATTCGCTGTATGTTAATAAAGTAATCAGAGTGTAATAAAAATAGATTATAGAATTTACACTAATGCAACTTTCTGTCTGAATGCAGAACATGAAAGAGAAGGCTTGTAGAGATCTGTTTTTGACATGCCTCAGACTTTACAGACTACTTTGACAGAAGTAGATGTCATACTCCTTTTGTCTCTTCCATGCCAAAAAATTTTCCTTTGAGAGGCAACTTTAGTTTTTGGGAAAGAAAAAAAGTCACAAGAAGACAAATTTGAAGAACTTGCAGGACGATTGAGTACAAATACTTATTTTCAGAACAGAAGTGGTTCTCCGATTGGTTATTGAATAATGAAAAGA